AACTTTATTTTGTCTCAACTGAGTTGGGGAACTTTAATTTAGTTTTCGTTGGGTCGTTGAACTTCAATTTTAGTTTTGAATTTCATCTTGTAATGCTTTCCATTTTTCAAATTGATAAAAATTTCTTAGGGCGTGTTTGGTTGTGCTTAAAATCCAATTAAAATTAAAAATATAATCGTTATTAGATCGTACTCGTTTAATAAAAGTAAAAAATAACGGTTAGTTTTTCAATTTTAATTCTAGTTTAATCTCTACTGAACACGCCATTAATTTATGTGCCATGCCGCGATAATTTGTATTCCGTTCTAATGAAAAAGTGTACTTGACCATCAAGCTCAGCATTTACATTAAAAGAAAATAAATTTTAGATAATTCAATTGCCTAAAATTTAATGGTATGAAAATTATTAGATAAATGATTTTAATTTAATTTTCAACCTAAAAATATTATATTTGTCCATTTTTTATTGATGAGTAAATTGGACGGGGGATGGATGAGAGAGAGTGAATTACATAAAAGGATAAAAATCACCTCCCTAAAGAAATTTTTTTTTTTCAAAGAAAATATTACAACATGATCAAAAGTTTAAAAAATATTTTTTATGAAAAAAACTATCAATCAAACACTCAAAATGTCAGAATTCCGATGGAAAAACGATGTTTTCAATGAAAAATAAAGATAATCAAACAAACTCGAAGTGACAAACAAATCGAGACAGCCTAGACAAACATAGACGAGCATTTTGCATACACAAAGTTCCTTGTTAAAAAATCCCATGCAGGTAGTAGTGGCTGGACGATAATCCTGCAAATTAACAACGTAAGCGATTGTGTAACAAACCAACCTCGTATAAAGCATCTCAACATATAACTCTTAAATGCACGGTTACAAAACTCTCAAAAGCCAGTCAAGTTCAACAAAACCTCTCAAAAAAAAAAAACACCCTTGTACATCTACACACTACCTATTAGTGAGCAAACTTCGAACAAGAAGATTTCACTACATATACACTCAAGATCGAAATTGCCTAGATATTCTATATATACTAGTTTCTATAAATTTGTCTCAGGAGGCCTACGAGAACAGACCATTCCTTTTCACTGTTTCTACACGTATGTACAAAAACGACATGGATCTGTAAGACAGGTTCAATAGGACACACAGCAGCAGAACTGTGGATATACATGACAGGTACATAGCAATAGGAGCCCGGACCTTCACTTTCCATATTCTTCAGCAGACCTGAAATAAGCAGTGGAAAATAGGAACTTCATGAAACTGCAAATGAACGTACACCTCCCTTTCTATGCGGTTGGAATTGCATTCACGACTTTGTCAACTTGAAGATTTTTCAAAGGGCTATCAAACCTTTCTTTCTCGATGCCAGCGCTGTATGATGAAAACATGCTCCTCTGTATCAACAATCAAAAATAAACAAGATTGAGGCGAGTGATTAGATAAAATGGTTTTTGTAGGCAAGCAGTCGTACATCAACCAAATGAAGTGCATAACTAGGCTTCACCAAGGACCTTAAGTTGAAAGTTATCTATTCTGATATTCGTCTGTTACACGAACAGCTTATATGCAAAATAGAGATTTTACTACTATGAAGAGAGAGAACAACTAAAATTATATGCGAATACATCATATCAGGATGATCAAGAATATAGTCTCCTAAACTTCAACTAAATTGTCCATTGTCTACAAGTTTGTCTAAGCTTAAAAGGTGCTTAGCCAATCATGCAAACTAAAGCTAATAGGCAAGGCATAGTAAAAACGAATCTAAAATGAAGCGCGTGCACACACTATCAGCAGCCTAAAAATATTCTTTATAAAAGAGGCCGAAAATTTCAAGACAAGTCGAAAGTACATCTTTGTTTGGGAAGCTTTTTTAGTAAATTGAAAGTTACTTCTACTACCCCGTCAAAGACAACCTTTAATTTCAACCTCACCTTCAACTACCAACTAATTATTTCCACACATTTCGTAGTCCCCACCGCTATTCCTCCTAAAAAATTCCAAAAATACTACTAATAATCTTTCCCAAACATATGCTTATTTGAAGAAACCACCAGTGATATCCCTGTATTCATTCATATTCAAACCCCAAAGGGTTCAAAAAATGACCTCAAAGCTGAATATAGTGTTGGGCT